CTACTTCGGCTTCGATTTGTCGGCGATTAAACCGGTCAATATTGCGTGCTTCGCGTGCAGTCCTTTCTTGTTCTGTTTCGCCAACTGCTGGCGGTTCATCATTGCTGACAACATGGATCAAATCCCCTCGTCTTGGCGGGAAAGACGGGAATTATGAGAACCCCAGAGCGTGGTCTGGGATATCCATATCGTACTTCACGCCTTCATCTTCGTGATGCTAAAGCTCGGTGTGGACAGATGCATTAGATGCGGTGCCAGACGAGGAGCTGGGGTCGCCCTCTTGGACTGTGTGAACGGATCCTTCTTGATAATCTTCAATTTGGATCATGTTGATGAAGTTGCGCGGCTTCGGCTGAGGTCGGTACATAAGACACAGATCCAAACGGCGTTGCAGGTCGTAGGCGTAGCAGGAGGCAGCATTTTGCAGGCCGTAGGGCTGGACCTGGTAGTTCTCCGTTGAGGCTTCGTACTCGGAGAGCCGGAGACCCGTCGCGAAGGCTGGCCGGCGATGAGCAAAGCGCCCTTGAGGAGTAGATGTGACCACGAGATCTATACCAAGTCGTACAGGACGACTGGTCCGAGCTGGTTGGGTAGATCTGTTGTGGGGAGCGGTTACCTGCTCATTAGGCTGACTTTGAATCGTACTTATCAGAGCCAGGGTTTCAGCGAGCTTGGTGCCGACCCGATCGATGGAGTCGAGCAGGTCGGTGTTGTCGATCTGCCTCCCTTTGTAGCGGGGAAGCGGATGACAAGTTGTCGGCGTGGCTGAAGGTGATGCAGGCGTGGTCGGAGCCAGATGTACCATGGTTGGATCTAGATCCATCGTGGTCGGAGCCGCATCCATCGTGGTCGGAGCCGTGTCCACCGTGGTCGGAGCCGTGTCCACCGTGGTCAGAACCGTATCCACCGTGGTCGGAGCCGTAGCCGATGTAGGTGAAGCAGTGGTCGACGCAGTCTGAATCCACGCCTCCTCCGGGGTCATGGCGATGAAGTCGTCGGAGCCGATGGTCCAGGTGATCTGGCCAACGGTGAACGTGAGGCCGTTCGGCGTAGCCATGGAGCCGGAGATGATGACCGTCTTGTTTGCTTGGGAAGCAGTACGCACAGCCCCTACCTGGCGCGCCACTACCAATGAAATATGGTCGGCAGTCTACCTAGGGGTATACCCAAGGTAGTAGATTATCGGCAGACAGATGCGCAAGCCACAAACAAGACGGTGACGCAAGACAGACACAAGGTTTTATCCAGGTTCGGCCGCCAAGAAGGCGGAATACCTACGTCCTGCGTCTGATTTGTATTGCTGTATGTCAATGAGAGATGTTTTTTAGAGGGGTCCCCTGCCCGCCTTATATAGTTCGGGGGGCAGGGTTACAGATCTGGAAACTAATTCTAGCCAGTTATAATTGCCATATGTGGCCGGATAAGGATTCCTATTCTAACCGACCAGGATCTTGATTGATCGCTAAATCCGCCTTGACTCTTTGCGCGGGACTCCGATCAGGTTAACCGAGCCGCACATCGTCTTTTGGTGGACCGGACCCACCGATCCGGGCCGGCCCAAGCTTAGCCATAAGGGTATAGGGGTTAATACCCCCACACGGTAGCACGGTCGCGGTGGAGCAAGCTGCGGCGATGCGGGCATGGAGACTTGGTTCGAGAATGGATGGGGAAACAACGGCAATTCGAGAAGAAGGTGCGAGCGGCGATTTTTTATTTTTATTTCCGTGCGGATGGCAGTGTTGCCTGTTGGGCCGTTCTAGCGTCGAGGCCCACCAACGTGTGTCCGGACAAAACGGACTTCCTAGCCACAGCATTATCGTTTATAAATATATATAACTATATTTATATCCAATTATTAAAGTACAAATCAGAATGTATTCGTTGTCGTTCACTCTCTCTTATACCTGTACTATAACACCTCATGTGTTAAGTATGTGTTAAACGTGATCATTAAGCACTACACTAAACAGGTTGCCAGACCATCACTATCGGGTATGTTGCCTTTTACAGTTGGTTCATAAGCCCATATGATTCAGAAAATTCCGGAGAAGTTATTCACCTGGCACCCGGTAGTGAAGGCTATCACTATCGAATCAAGACACAAACCAGAAGTAATAAGTGTGATATCACTATCGGCTAAGGTTATCATTATCGGTTCATGGCTTGACCCAGCAGTGATATGAAATTATCACTGCCGAGTTTTGAGAGCTTAAGGCTTATAGTTTCCCTGTCTAAGTCTAAGCCTGTACTGGTAGAGATCCACAGTGCAGAGAATCAGACCTCTGATGTGTTAATCTTTCTTATGTAAGAACTAGATCTTGTTGGTGGAGGAATAAAGCAACCATTCCTCGTATATCTGAGTTCTTGCTTTGTGTTCTTGAATCGTTTAGGTTTTTCCTCTCCCAAACCCCCTTCTCTTGCGTTTTGGGTGATTTCGTTTTTCTAGAGATTTGAGACCGATTGGGTGGCTAGAGAACATATCTACCAACCCATTTGATCAGATTCCTCACGAGCACAATTTGGCGGGATTTTTTAGCAAAGTTGAGAAAACCCCAGCTCGGTTCATGGATTTCTAGATCCTCAGAGTTCCCTTGATCTTTTGGGCTTGATCTTCTAGGAATATCTTCGTGACATCTTCTTCTACCTCTGTACCAAATTTGGAGTCAATCAGACTTGATTTGGGTCGATTTCCACTTTTGGGAGGAATATTTTGGGCTGTTGGCAGGCAAAGCCGGCCAGGCCATGTTCTATAATTGATAATAATTCTCTGGTCATCACCGAGAACATTCAAACACCAGTTGGCTCGAGGGCATCACTCTTGTGTGATTTCATGTTTTGGAGTGTTGTTTGGGACAACGGCCATTTCGGAAGAAATTTTGATTGGCTCTCATTCAAACCAGCACCCCCACCCCATCCCTCCTCTGGTCGTCTTTCTTGGTCCTTCAACAAGTCATGATTTGTAAATGTCTACAAGTAGCTACAAGCATGGTTTGTCCATCGTTATACATTCAACACAAGTTGATGGTCAAATAAAAACATTTCAAAAATATATTAAAATGGGTCTTCACTACGGAAGCGTTAAATTTGCCGAAGTGTTTTTATGTTTGCCGAGTGTATTCTCTCGGGCACTCGGCAAACAAGTTTTTCGCCGAGTGCTGGGCTAAAAACACTCGGCAAAAAATAACACTCGGTAAAGAGGGAGTTTGCCGAATGTTTTTTTGACACTCAAGAAAGAAATAAAATCTTTTTCTAGGAAAGAAGGAGAATAAAAAAATATAAAAAACTTTCTTTGAGTGGCGGATCTAGGACACTCGGCAAAGGAAAAATATTTTTTCAAAAAAAAGAAGAAAAAAATAAAAAAAACTTTACCGAGTGCCCGGATCTAAGACACTCGGCAAAGGAAAAAATTTTTTTTACGAGAGAAAGAAAAAAAAAAAAAAAAAACTGCGAGTGCCCAGTCCAGGACACTCGGCAAAGTAAAAAAACTATTTAATTAACCGCCGCGCCCTCCCTCCCTTCCCTCGCCTAACCTCCTCCTCCCAGAACCGCCTTGCCGCGCGCCCCCTCCCTCCTCCTCCCGGCCGCGCCGCTCCCCTCCCTCTCCCAGATCCGCCCGCCCACGCCGCTCCCTCCCTCCTCCCAGATCCGCCCCTCCCTCCCTCGGCTCCCTCCCTCCTCCTCCTAGATCCGCCCGCTTGTGTGCTCCCTCATCTCCGGTGGCTTCCTCCGGCTCCATGGCGGTCATGGCTCGAGCTCCTCTCCGGTAGCTTCCTCCGTGCGGTAACCGTCCCCAGCTCCATGGCATGTCGCCGGCGTGAGCTCCTCTCTAGTGAGCGAGCAAGCCATCGTCGCCAGCGCGAGCTCCTTCCCCGGCGGGTGCGCAGGCCATCCTCGGCGGCGCGCAGAGCCTCTACCCCATCCCCGACAACTGGTGACTCAAGAGGAAGAAGAAGAGCTGTGTGGTGTGGGATCCGGTGGCGTCCCCGACGCAGCCCCTTCACACGGAGGCGAGCGGCGCCCTGCCCTGGCACGGGCGCTTCCCCTGCGGCAGCGAGCTCCGGCCTGCCCTGGTCGTGGTGGCGGTGGCGGCGGCGGGACTTGTTTTTTTCGCAAAAAATGTTTGCTGAGTGTTTTTTCTGGACTCGGCATAGTCTTTGTTGAGTGCCCGACGTTTGACACTCGGCAAACAGCTCTTTGCCGATAAAAATTTGCCGAGTGTCATTTGTCGAGTGTAACACTCAGCAAACACTTTGCCGAGTGTTTTTGGGGTTGGCACTCGGCAAAGCTCGTGTATCCCGTAGTGATGCTTGTTTTGTAGATCTCATTTCAAGTAAAACAATTACTCAAATGAATTTGAAGATATATTCTGTATGTGAGAGTTATTATCAATTATAGAAATACATCAAGTTTTAATAAATTGGCATCAGCTGCAAGGCGTGTGTTTTATCCTTTGCAATTAGTTCTGCTCCCATGTAAAGCCCTCCTGACATCAGCGGTGATACAGGTGCCAAAGGGGACATGATGGCATCCTCAACAATATAGTCAATTTGCTAGCTCATATGAACTTAAAAAACAAAAATAGAGTAAGCTAACATGCTAATATAGAAAAATGTGTAATATATAGACACATGGATCCTAGGAAAGTAGGTGAACTTAACTCTTTATGAAGAGTTAGCTTATCATTCTCTCTGCTTTTTATTGATAAAATATTCTACGAGCTATAGATCTTTTTAATACTATTGGAGTTACCTAGAGTTTTGAGTGTTTTGGTAACAGTACACCCATTGAAGTTTTATTCAGTTTTAAGTGTTTTAGTAACACAATACACGCTGGGTTTCATCCAAATGAAACTCATCTCCTCTCTTTCCTCATAATTTCTACGTAACATCGTCATTTTTACTGATGTGTCACCTTATTAAATAGGAAGAAAACTCTTATTGGAACTAGCCTAATAACTAAAACAACATAGTGCAAGATCGATACAATAACAAAAAAAAAGTTCAAACAGTAGGGCCGTTGAGAAAGAGGGAGACGAGGAGATCCTTGAGGTCGGCAGCAAAGGTGTAGGCATCTCTGCCGCCAAGGTATATGACCTCCAGCGTCTTGGTCAGGTTCACCACCAGCTGCGCGGCCGGCAACAGCGCGCTATCCATCTCCATGCACGACCGGTTAATTGTTCTCCACGCGTGCTCCGCCATCCCCGCGATCGCGGTCACCGCCTCCTCCCCTGACGTGCCATGCTCCTTGGCGTAGCATTCCACGGAGCTTGCCACGTCCTTCTTGTTCTTCCCCTTCTTGTACGAAGCGATGTCGTTGAGGAAACGAGCGACCTCTCCACTGGCGGTGACCACGTCCGGGACGCCGATCGCCCACTGGAACGCCTCCCTGGTCGCCATGTCACCTGCACCCATAAGCAGCACCACGGCTATTGTTGGGAAGCCTGACGACATGACAGACACCTCCATGTCACTACTAGCTAAACTAGCTCTACTCCCGGTTCGTAACCCCTTTTAGTCCCGGTTTTGGAACCGGGAGCACGAATCCGGGACTAAAGGGCCCCTCCTTTAGTCCCGGTTTCGCGCCCGGGACTAAAGGTGGACCTTTAGTCCCGGTTGGTAATACCAACCGGGGCTAAAGAGGCCTCCCGGTCTAACCACGTAGACCGGTCCTTTAGTCCCGTTTGATAATACCAACCGGGACTAAAGGTTTTTTTTTCCTTTTTTTGTTTCTATTTCTATTTTCCTTTTTTTCTATTTTCACGCTACTACCGAACTGAAGGTTTTCTTTTTTTTCTTATTTTTAATTGATGATTCGTTTTGGTTTTTGATTACGCGTTCTACACTGCTAGAATATACGTGCGTTTATAATGTTCAACATTTTGTATAAACTATAGTACGAAGGACCTTTAGTCAAGGATCAGCGGTACAATCCTATAGAGCAGATCCTGTTCAAGTTCGTGCTGCATGGTTCGAGAGCTGAGCTTTTAAATTAGCTTTCACTCTTCTGAGCAAGCGAGGTGGTGCTAATATGTGGGACTGGCCATGGGCCGGCCCATCGAGGCTCCTATAAACGTCCAGGACTAAAAGACATTTAGTCCCGGCTGGTAATACCATCCGAGACTAAAGGTATACCTTTAGTCCCGGCTCGTAATACCAACCGGGACTAATTGATACGCATGCATGTGTCTGACGGTGGCTTACTCCTACGTACTAGTGTAGCAGCTAGCTAGCAGAGACAAACTGTTTTGTTGGCTTACACGTACTGACGGTGAACAGCTAGCTGATTTAAGCCCGTTTGATTTAAGCCCGGTGAACAGCTAGCTAAAAACGGTGAACAGCTAGCTACTCCTACGTTTTGCTGATTTAAGCCCGGTGAACATCTAGCTAGTGCCCGGTGAACAGCTAGCTTAAAACGGTGAACAACTAGCTACTCCTAGTGTCTCGATCGACTCAGCTCCCGTATACGTACGCCCAGGTCGGACGGTTGGTGACCTTTAGTCCCGGTTGGAGACAGCAACCGGGACTAAAGGTCCCTTTCTAGTCTCGGACGGAGCCTCCAGCCGGGAGTAGATTTTTATTCCCGGTTGGAGGGACCAGCCGGGAGTAAAAGTTAACCTTTAGTTCCGGTTGGTAGCTCCAACCGGGATTAAAGGTCCCCTGCAACAAAAACCTGCCACATTAGCCGTTGGGCAGGACCTTTAGTTCCGGTTGGAGCTACCAACCGGTACTAAATGTTTCTCTAGTCCCGGGCGCGAAAAATACCGGGACTAAAGCCAAATTTCGAAGTGGATCAAAGGTCGTTTCTCTACTAGTGTGTGCTCTTTGAAGCTCGGCGCGTATTTCTCACTGCACCATTTGGCCTCGTCCAGATAGTACTTTGATGACAGTTTAAACTGCGAGAAATTAATTAAACAAATTAATATTCATGTATCACTAGTGCTTCGTACCAACGTACATATGAACAAAACAAAGTACACCATACGTTTAAATATACACTTTAATTGATCGATGTATAATAACTTTTCTTACCGCTTGCTTTGCATAGGATACGCGGTACTTCTCATTTGGCTGCAAACTATGCTCAAACTCTTGAAAGTTCCTCACAAGATTGATGTAGAACATTTTCATGTACTCTGGAAGAATGGAAGCAGTGGTTTCATCCCATCTGCGCGCAGACAAGACACACGTAATGAGATATATAGAACCTAATCAGGTCATGCATAAACCTCCAGCTTGAGTTGATGTGCTGTTATATATAGTACTCCCTCCATTTCAAATTATACATAATATATGTTTTAACTTTTCTAGATACATAGATTTTGCTATGTACCTAGATATACATTATTATGTCTAGATACATGGTTAAAGCAACAGAAATGCCAAAACATCTTATAATTTAGAGCTGGGGGAGTATATACATATGTACCTCTGTATAGCATCGTTGAGTATATGGCATTCCTCTAATGTAGCATACACATCGTACGTGTCATCCATCAAGGACAGCAACCCAAATGTCTTGGCAAACAGCATTCGCGCACGAGAGTATTCCTCCTCATGGAACACCCCACACGTCCAGAAGTAGTTCTCCACTAGCCGGTCTCGGGCGTAGTTTAGTTTCACATTGCCACAGAGATCCTTCCACCACCTGCAAAAATTGAATCAAATGTCAATTGACTGACTGATCATCAACATAAATAATTAGGCAGGATTATATAATAGGAAACGTAGTCAACACTTACAATGACAGGTCCTTTAGCTCCCTGAGGTGAAGAAACCTGAGCAAGTCAAAGTCCAGCCTCGCGAGCTCCAAGAGCACGGCGTCGTGCCCCTCTTCTTTGCCATACTCTACGACGTAGTGCATCGTCTCCAGCCGCTTTGGCAGGCGTGCGAGAGGGATGTCGAGGGCACGGGACACTTGCTCTTCCAGTGGCGACGGGAGCCTGCCTTTCATGGACGCAAGGTGACGCCTGGAGAAGGAGATGGCTTCGTCGAGGGCCTGCTCGCCAGGTGTTGCCATGTGAGCCGCGTTGTATAGGCTCAGAAAGCCCCTCGGATCACTGGCCAGACTTTCAATGAAACTGCCGGTCCTTTCATCTCTGAATCTGTCGAATACATCTGTCAAGGTAGCGTACTTGTGTGTTATATACTCTTGCTGCATATATAGGCATGGAACGAACGAGAATCTGTAGACGACACATTTATACGTATTATTACGACGACGTATACCTGGGACCCAGACGCCATGTTGCCTAAGTAGACGAAAGCGAAGAGCAACGATCTGGAGGCCGTCGTCCAAACTCTCTCAGCTGTTGATGCGTTTTAACGCGGCGTCAACCTCCTGGCGGAAGTGGTTGTCGATGCCGAGGCGTTGGAGCGTGTCCACTAGCGTCACCATGTCAGCCTCGCTCCTCGTAGCCTCGCCGCCAGCGTCGAACATCCGGCGGCGCACTTCTCCTTTGAGCTGGTGCGCCCTCTCTCTCATCCGCTCCTCCGACTCCTGTGTGTATTAAGCCCAGTGAAATATATATAGGTACAGCACGCGCGCGCGCGCACACACACACACACGTACTTGTGAGACGGGTGGGGCATAGGCGACGAAGAAGTCGCCCCACGCACAGGGCTCGAAGGCGCCGGCGGTGGCAAACTGGCAACCGTCAGCCCAGCGCCGGTCTCCTCCAGGCTCGCAGGAGGAGCTGCAGCAACCGTGTTCGGAGCCATACCACTGATTTCGTGAGCGAAACCGTGTGTGTGTCGTGCAGCAAGTTCGTCGATCAGCAGCTGGCTCGCTGCTTGCACTTGCATGCACTGCTTACTCTACTCTCTCTATTGTTATCTATATTTATACAGAGCGATCGAGCAACAACACATGAGTGGGGACGATGCTTACTAATAATAGAGGTATGGCGATATGGCTTTGCTGACGACGACTTAATTATAACCTAACCTGCATGAATCAGGAATGAATTCAAGCAACTGGTAAAATAAAAACCTCGTGTGGTTCACGTGTGCTTACAGTATTCTATAAGTCCTGTATGGGTGCATTGCACCCCCATTCCAAAGGAATTTCTGCACGAGCTCAAAGCTTATATGATAATTGATTTATAGATTAAGAAGTACATAACGCGGGTCTCTCTCTCTCTCCTCTTCCGATCTAGTGTTTCCTAAAAGTTTCTTAGACCAGTTTCCCACCACGTTCCACAAATTCTCACACCAACCATATCGACACTATACTTCATCTCTCTCTTCATTTGTCATCCGAGCATGTACGATTCATGTTTATAATCAGGCATTATATTCAGATCCTGTGTGTGCGCGCGTGTTTTCTCTCCTCTGGTGCAAAGAGGTCTTCTCATCATCGTCTCCAAACCCTCGAGAAACCTCACTAATAAGAGCTCCAAGCTATCGCTGCTATCAGGGCAACTTGTAGTCGTTGCCTAGAGGCCTCTCCTTTATCTCCAATGAAACCGCCAGAGGGAAAGAAGGAGAGGAGCCCATCCCTCATTTATAGTTGAGTCGTTCCTTTAGGTTTAGTTTCACTATTATAGATATATCATTACTGTCAGGTCTCAAACCCCATCACTGTCGATTTTGCTCGGCTGTGGACTATGGTGAAAGTGGACAGTGAAAATGGATATAATCACTGACAATTTGCAAATCAGCGGTGAAAAGCAAATAAAAAATTTTAAAAACTTCGCGCCGCCACAATTGACATCCTCGTCCCCGTCCTCGCCCGCGCGATCCTCGTCCTCGTCTTCACCCGCGCGGTGGCTATCCTTGCCCTACAAGAGTGAACACACTGTATGACAATTTCCACAAATCCTCGTCTGCGCCATCCTCATCCTCGTCCTAGCCCACGCGGTGGCTATCCTTGTCCTAGTTGCCCAGGTCTGTCGCATGAAGAAGGGCAGCGAGTCCTTGACGCCACCACACCAGGAGAGGGGAGGTCCCCCCCTAGATGCACTAGAAGAGGGGGCAGGGAGTGGGCTCCCGTCATCTGGCCGATTGTCGCGATGCATGCCGACATCGGTGAGAGATGGGTCGGGAGGGAGGAGAGGGGCCGAGAGGAAGAGAGAGTGGTGGCGGGAGGAGTGCCGGTGACCAAGAGAGAGAAGGATAGGTTTGGTGTCTGCTTATATATTTTCTTCGTTTTTTATCGTCAGATAGTGTCTTGAACCGACAACGAAAACTAGTCTGGTTTTCATTGTCGGTTCGGGATACAACCTGACCGTGAAAAAGATTATCACTACCAACTCCATTAGGTCAAAGTGAAAAAAAATTCACCGGTGGATTCATTACAAACCTGCGGTAATAATGTTCGTCGATCAGCAGCTGGCTCGCTGCTTGCACTTGCATGCACTGCTTACTCTACTCCGTATTGCTATGGATATTTATACAGAGCGATCGAGCAACACATGAGTGGGGACGATACTTATACCTATAATAGGTATGGCGATGGCTTCACTAGTGGAGAAATGAGATCTAGTCCTGGTTGGGAACTAGCTCTACTCTCGGTTTCCCAACCGGGACTAGCAATCCGGGACTAAAGATGTTGTTCTTTAGTCCTGGTTTGCCACAACCGGGACTAAAGATCCTCCCAGCTTTAAAAAAAATGCCTCCCACCGCTGCGTCCCGTGAGATTCGAACCCAAGACCTCATGCACTGCCTCGCGCGTAGCTTACCACCCCACCTACACAACACATCTAACAATAGATGGGATGCTTTCCTTTTGAACTAACCCATCGGGGGACCTTTAGTCCCGGTTGATGTTACCAACCGGGACTAAAGGGTCCTTTAGTCCCGGTTAGTCCCGGTTGGTAACATCAACCCGAACTAAAAGGTCACCCTTTAGTCCTGGTTGGTGTTACCAACCGGGAGTAAAGGTTGGAGGACTTTTAGTCCCGGTTGGTGGCTCCAACCGGGAGTAAAGGTCCACCTTTAGTCCCGGTTGGTATCTCCAACCGAGACTAAAGGTCCCCTGCCACTGTGCCGAGCGCAGTAGCCGTTGGGCAGGGACATTTAGTCCCGGTTGATGTCTCCAACCGGGACTAAAGGTCTCTCTAGTCCCGGGCGCAAAAAATGCCGAGACTAGAGCTTATTTTGGTCTCGGATGAAAGGTCTGTTCTCTACTGGTGCTTTTCCTGACGGCGAATTAATTATAACCTAGACCTGCATGAATCAGGAAAGAATCCAAGCAAATGTAAAATGTAAAATAAAAAACCCCGTGGTTCACGTGTGTGCTTACAGTATTCTATAAGTCATATCGGTGCATTGCGCACGAGCTCAAAGCCCCATCACTGTCGGTTGCAGTAAAAGTGGGCATTGAAAATGGATATAATCACTGACAATTTGCAAACCAGCGGTGAAAAGCAAATAAAAATTTAAAAAACCTCACGCCACCACAAAGAAAATAGAAACAAAGAAAAAATGGCATTACTAGAAAATAGAAACAAAGAAAAAATGGCAAATGTCCATCATCATTCCCAGGCAAAGCCTGTATCATTTGCACTCACATGATCCTTCTTGCTATACTTGTATGTTCAAACAGTAATTATGTACTTATTATAAAAATCGCATTCTGTAACAAACTAAGCTAAGAACTCAAGTTAAGTAATAAAATGAGATCTGAATATACGCATCCTTTTCTGTTGGTAAATACACAAATTCGAATTATCAATTAGAACTGAACTTACATTCAGAACGAAAACTCCTTGATAGAATATAAAAGTGAAGAACAGTGCGTATGAGATACCTGATTCATGGACAGAGAAACTAAGGCCCGTTGCGATCATTCCTGCCGGTCTTGCTACATGAGCAAATGAGCATGTTAAAATCACATCGATCTTGCTACATGAGCATACGAGCAGGTTTCCACCAGTCAATCATAAAAGAAATAATACCCTAGCAGGGATAGGGGCGGTCACTGACCTGCCGCTGGCCGCGTCATCATTCGTGGCAGTGGTAGAGACTAGCGAGGAACCAATGGTGTGCTGCCATCCATAAATCCTGATTTGCATCACCGCCAAGCAGTAGATCTCAAGGCCCAAGCACCTAGTGGGGCCGTGCTCCACCATTGGGGGTGGAGATCACCACGGAGAGGGGCGCCACGGCCACCACCACAAAGAGGAGTGTCAGAAGGTCGTCGCCACCTACCGGCAGATGGGATGGACGCCATATTTTCGTACCTCCAGTTGCCAGCCAAAATAGTCGCCGCCAACCACTCGAACTCGAGAGATGGGATGGATGCCACAATTTGTATTCAAATCACATAGACACACGGTCATAAAAAAGCATAAAAAATTTAACACACAAGGTCTTGCATGCTGCCGGGGAATCGATTTAACAGGTTGCGTGTGGTGGCCATATGACAATTGTGCATAGAAAAATAACGTGAGAGATCACCTTCGTCGGCAGATCCATATATATATATATGTGCACGTGACTATGTATGGAAATGTGTTCCAACATTAAATATAAATGTGCTCCAACAATGTATATAATTGTGATCCAACAATATATAAAATGTGCTCCAACAATGTATAGAAGTCTTCTAAATGAGTTCTTGCTTACACGGTTGGCTCAAGAAGCATAGAAATAAAAAAATCAATTGCACAGAAATCATGCTTGCCTGCGTTGGTAGCTCTTCATTTCTGCAAATCACCTATTCATACAAGGCTGCAACCAAAAATCAGATAAAAACATCATGGAAAAACAATTGTCGTAAAAATACATCAGTTTGCTTGTTGATTAATATGCATAAAAAATTGTTCCTGGCTTTTATGCATTTGATAGCCATGATTTGAATACACACTATATCAAGGATAAGCGTAGAAAAGTCTCAGCTTGGATGAAAAGAAGTCTATTTCTATGCATCAAAAGTCTCAGCTTTGATGTCCTCCGAAAAATAGCGGACACAGAACAAAACCGCCAAAAAAATAGCCAGCTACATACTCTGTTCCATCAGACGCTGAACAAATCGATCATGGTGGAGCGAACTCGTGGTGGATCCAGCTGCTGGTCTCTCGGGGTGCAGGGAACTGCTCGGGGCGGACCGAAAATTAAGACTTCAATTTCATTGCGCATCATATCAAGGAAAAGAATAAAAACAGTAATGACAAATCACAGAAAGTTTTGAATAACAAAGCATAGAAACCGTAATAGGAAGAAACAAGCCAGCAAGGTCCACGGACATTGAATCATGCGTGCACATCAGACATATACCACCACTAGAAACAACTAGTAGGAAGGGAAAAGTGTTTTCTACTCGCCTTCGTCGGCAGATACATATTCCATGGCCACCAGGAGATCCTCAGCCATCAGCGCACACCAAGACCATGATGCCGCATCTCCTGCAGCCAAAAATCAGAAGAAGAAATTTCTTTTACAAATTCATTGCACATCGTATGAGAGAAAAAGCATAAAAAGTTTAAATCAAAACTG